CCCTCGTGCGTGTCACTGGCACTCATTTGATGCATGAGCCCAACGTGGGAATGCTCACGCCTGTCAAGATGGACGAAATAATTTCCCAAGAGGGAGCTTTCGCCAGGTCGTATCAACTTCAACCACCTCAGGCAGAGGAGTTCCAACAAAGGGGGAAGTGCTGAGCTGCCGTAGCTACCGACTTCTTAATACGGCACAAGAGGACCGCTTTGCTCTTCGATAGCACCTTCCACCCCAGGTGCTCCAAGCCCTCGATCAATGTGAAGGGATTAAAGGCTCAAGCACAGAGACGTCAAGTGATTTATCCAAGGTCACAGGCTTGGATAAACCTGGATCTCCTGAGCCAAGAGTCCACATCAAAGCTAGAAAGAGAAGGATTTATTCAGCCAAGCTCCCAGACCCTCTAAGCTCCTCTCTACAGTAGCACGGCTTCAGCAACAATGCTGGCAGGGCTTGGGACGTTTGGACCTGGATTGGACAAAGCACTGGAGACGAACACTGCAGAGAACGACGATTTGGCTCTGCAGTGTGGATGGAGCGGAGCGCGTCGCAACCCAGCAACTAGTCACGTGTTCGGCACCGGGTCGCCTTGCTGGAGAGCGACACAGGGACACATGGGGATGCTAAGGCAGCTTCCTGTCTGACCTGGCCCTGCGGACCATGCTGCATCCCTGCAGCAGATCTGGCTCCTAGGCCCCCACCTGGAGCGCTGGCTCCACGCTCCCATTGGCTAACTCCGGGCCAATGGGAGCTGGGGGGGGCGGAGTCCTGTGCCTGCAGGTGGGAGCAGCATGCAAAGCTGTTTGTGTGCCACCACCTCGGAACCAGACCTGCTGCTGGCTGAGACAGGCGCAGCCTGGTCTGCAGGGCCAGGAGAGGCAGGAAGCTGCCTTCACACCCCCTCCATGTTGGAGATAAGCCCAATTGTGAGCACCAATCTCCTGCCTGAGTCCTGAGGCTCCCCCTAACCTGGATCCCCCTCCTATACTCCGGCTCCTACATTCCTGGCCCCCGCCAGAGCCCAAAAGATATAATTATGCTGGGTCGCGAGCATCAACGATTTTCTTCAACTGAGAAAAAAAAAACGCTTGAACGCCATTGGCATAGAGGACGGAACACGTCGCCTTCTATGGACAAGGCAGGGGAGACACCCTGCCACGAGGACTCGGGTATTAAAGGTGCCCTAAGCGCATGGCTTCGACCCCAGTCGCAGGATGGAGAGAGTTCCAAAACAATCGTAATCGCAAGACACGCAGCAGCTTTGGATTGAGACGCCTGGACCTGAAGCTGCCGGGCACCTGGCCTGCACAGACCAGGGGCTGCTCCTCGTCTCGTCTCCCCCCGCCGGAGCACAGAGATACAGCCAAGCACAAAAGGATCTTTGTTGCCTTCTTATTTGAAACATGTTGGTCTGACGGCCGAAGGAGTCGCTTGGAACTGCCTCCTGCCCAGGGCAAGGCCGTGCTGGAGTGTATGGAAAAGAACAATGCAAGTGGCTTCCAAGTAAATAAAAGCACTGATGCAAGGAAACCTTCCCTGGGCAGACATTTAAGGGTGTGAAACACACCCGATGCGGACGCTCAATAAAACCGTTATTAAGAAGAACCAAGCCAGGGGACCAAACTACGCTTTTTTTTTTTTTTTTGGAAGGAAACTGATCCAGCAAGCTGAATCTAGTGGTATAACAGTGGAGAGAGGAAGAGAAAGATTACCAGTCGTCCTCATTAAAAATAGGCAGCATTTAGTAACATCTCTCATTCTTGCCTGCACTCCACTCCAGGCTCCTAACCCTTGAAGTTAATTTTCTGTGTGTTTACAATGTCAGATGGAATTCAAATGACAGATAGGAGGAGACTAGCTGAGGAACCAGTGCATAGGGTTCAGGTGCAGATGGCACCAACACGGTATTTCACCTCCGCTCAGGTCAAACCTTTGGACACGCGGTTCTGGCTACATTCTAGCTGGAAAATAGGCCCTCGAGTTTTTGACCGGGCCTGGAACCAAACCATGGGGGGAGGGGTTCAAATTGGGGAATTCGGATCTGAATATGCCAGATCACACACTCACAAAACTTAGCTGGCGGCTGAGTCTAGGGGATGTTGTTCCCCCTTGGTAACAAAAAAATAAATAAACTGGTTGAATGTGTCAAGCGAGAAAGAGGCCTAGGAGATGGAAAATGCCCCCTTATCATTCAAGTTCTCATGAACCCTGGAATAAATTGATTAGGGAGGTAGTGGAATCTCCATCACTGGAGATATTGAAGAGCTGGTTGGATAGTCATCTACCAGGGATGGTCTAGAGATGGTGCTGGGTCCTGCCGTGAGGGCAGGGGACTGGACTTGATAACCTCTCGACGTCCCTTCCAGTTCTAGGGTGTGTCTACACAGCAGGGCTTAACTCGAAATAAGCGACGCAAATTGAGCTACATCAGTTGCATAGCTTATTTCAAAATAGGGAGTGTCTACACAGCACTTATTTCGAAATAGAGCCTCTTCCTCCAACTTCCCTTACTCCCAGGACAATGAAGGCTACAGGAGTTGGAGTAAGAAGTCCTCCAGCTCGACAGTATTTCGACATTATTTCACAATAACTAGTTATTTTGAAATCATGTTGCTGTGTAGATGTACCCCAGCTAGTGTTCTGTGATTCTATGTCAGTTTCTCAGTGTTCGGTTGTGGTATTAGTAAACCTACAGTCAGGTGTGAAGGCCTTTTCATTGCCTCCTTGCCATATCTACTCTCTGCCCACACTCCTCAATTTTTTTCCCCTGAGGTCTAAACTTCGTGGTTTTATTAAAGTTTCCACCTACTGAGATTTCAACCAAAGGTCCTCAGCTCCCCCTTGTTTGCACTAAAAAAGAAACATCTTTCCTTCCCAAAGGGGAACAACAACAAATGTTTTGGATAGGCCTGCGAGTAATTGTTTCACTCTGCCCCCTTTCTCAATAGGAAACGTAAAGGTGGTGAAATTGCAGGCCTTAGCACTGCCCCGTTTCCTTCCTGCTGCCATCCCAAAGTGAGCATTGGTTTTTCCAGCCTTGTCTTGTATCACACAGCCTGCCTGCCTCTCCCTCGAACTTCCCAAGCTACATCACCAGCACAACAGCATCTCTTTTATGTGCAGTATCACTCCCACCCCACCCCGCCATTCTGAGACTACAGTGGGGCACATTGCTCCAAAATACAAAAACTACAACAACGAAAATTTGCAAACAGGAGCCGGATGCAATGAATTCTCTTCAGTTCAGTGTTGTTCTTCTGCTGCACTCCTCACCCGAGAGTGTCCAAGCACCTTCCAGTAATGCATTAAGAGATGGGGCAAGTGTTCCTCATCTCGAAAAGTGTGCACAGTAGAGTGTTTTGTTACATGCAGCCGTATTGTGAAATAAAACAGTTCCAGCTAGTTGTCATTTTATATATGCTGTCTCTCTTATTCTACTGTTCAAATAATAGCTCAGAAAAAGATTTGTGGGGAGACTTCAAAAGGGGGACCCACACATCCCTCCACAATCTAGGTAACCCACAATGCAACCCCCTGCTCTACCTTGCAAGCAGGCCACCATTTTGGGCTAATGCAGTGCATTATGGGCCCAACTGCAGGTGTTTGTCTGCTAATGCCCAGATCCTGCCACTGCTGTTTGGGCAACAACACGCAGAAATTGTGCCCACCGGGAAGTGATTGCAGGACTGGGGCCCTGGACTTTAAACTCTACAGAGGCGCAAATGCTCTGTTATACCAGCATATTTCTCCTGCCGGGTGTTTTCTGGGGCTGTGCTTAGATGGGGCGTGTTATTATGAAAGCGCTGTTGGCATGGCCAAGCGATGGAGAGGCAGGCGCGACACAGGGACGGGGTCTGACCTCAAGTTACCCTGGTGGTGAGTCTGGGACTCCAGACTGTGGAGTCCTCCTGCACCCCTGGATTTCAACCCCTGGGGGAGAACAGAATGGAGCACTGCCTGTAGGGTGAAGAGACTCACAGGGTCCAGCACAGGTGAAAGCTGGAGGCTGCTGGAAACACACTACAAGGACCCAGCCTGTGCTGGCTAGCGACATCCTGTCTCCCTCTCTGACTCCTGGGCGTCCCCACTTTCCTTCGCAGGGACGGGAAAAGCCCCTCCCCCTCCCCCGCCCCTGGCGTTGCCCTTTTAAGAGGGGAGGCGACCGGCAGAGCTCGATCGGTTTGCAGGTTATTGCTGCGGTTCACATGTGCCACGGGCTGCAACGGGGTGGGGAAGGGGAGCCCCGGG